ATATATATATATATATATATATATATATATATATATATATATATATATATATATATATATATATATATATATATATATATATATATATATATATATATATATATATATATATATATATATATATATATATATATATATATATATATATATATATATATATATATATATATATATATATATATATATATATATATATATATATATATATATATATATATATATATATATATATATATATATATATATATATATATATATATATATATATATATATATATATATATATATATATATATATATATATATATATATATATATATATATATATATATATATATATATATATATATATATATATATATATATATATATATATATATATATATATATATATATATATATATATATATATATATATATATATATATATATATATATATATATATATATATATATATATATATATATATATATATATATATATATATATATATATATATATATATATATATATATATATATATATATATATATATATATATATATATATATATATATATATATATATATATATATATATATATATATATATATATATATATATATATATATATATATATATATATATATATATATATATATATATATATATATATATATATATATATATATATATATATATATATATATATATATATATATATATATATATATATATATATATATATATATATATATATATATATATATATATATATATATATATATATATATATATATATATATATATATATATATATATATATATATATATATATATATATATATATATATATATATATATATATATATATATATATATATATATATATATATATATATATATATATATATATATATATATATATATATATATATATATATATATATATATATATATATATATATATATATATATATATATATATATATATATATATATATATATATATATATATATATATATATATATATATATATATATATATATATATATATATATATATATATATATATATATATATATATATATATATATATATATATATATATATATATATATATATATATATATATATATATATATATATATATATATATATATATATATATATATATATATATATATATATATATATATATATATATATATATATATATATATATATATATATATATATATATATATATATATATATATATATATATATATATATATATATATATATATATATATATATATATATATATATATATATATATATATATATATATATATATATATATATATATATATATATATATATATATATATATATATATATATATATATATATATATATATATATATATATATATATATATATATATATATATATATATATATATATATATATATATATATATATATATATATATATATATATATATATATATATATATATATATATATATATATATATATATATATATATATATATATATATATATATATATATATATATATATATATATATATATATATATATATATATATATATATATATATATATATATATATATATATATATATATATATATATATATATATATATATATATATATATATATATATATATATATATATATATATATATATATATATATATATATATATATATATATATATATATATATATATATATATATATATATATATATATATATATATATATATATATATATATATATATATATATATATATATATATATATATATATATATATATATATATATATATATATATATATATATATATATATATATATATATATATATATATATATATATATATATATATATATATATATATATATATATATATATATATATATATATATATATATATATATATATATATATATATATATATATATATATATATATATATATATATATATATATATATATATATATATATATATATATATATATATATATATATATATATATATATATATATATATATATATATATATATATATATATATATATATATATATATATATATATATATATATATATATATATATATATATATATATATATATATATATATATATATATATATATATATATATATATATATATATATATATATATATATATATATATATATATATATATATATATATATATATATATATATATATATATATATATATATATATATATATATATATATATATATATATATATATATATATATATATATATATATATATATATATATATATATATATATATATATATATATATATATATATATATATATATATATATATATATATATATATATATATATATATATATATATATATATATATATATATATATATATATATATATATATATATATATATATATATATATATATATATATATATATATATATATATATATATATATATATATATATATATATATATATATATATATATATATATATATATATATATATATATATATATATATATATATATATATATATATATATATATATATATATATATATATATATATATATATATATATATATATATATATATATATATATATATATATATATATATATATATATATATATATATATATATATATATATATATATATATATATATATATATATATATATATATATATATATATATATATATATATATATATATATATATATATATATATATATATATATATATATATATATATATATATATATATATATATATATATATATATATATATATATATATATATATATATATATATATATATATATATATATATATATATATATATATATATATATATATATATATATATATATATATATATATATATATATATATATATATATATATATATATATATATATATATATATATATATATATATATATATATATATATATATATATATATATATATATATATATATATATATATATATATATATATATATATATATATATATATATATATATATATATATATATATATATATATATATATATATATATATATATATATATATATATATATATATATATATATATATATATATATATATATATATATATATATATATATATATATATATATATATATATATATATATATATATATATATATATATATATATATATATATATATATATATATATATATATATATATATATATATATATATATATATATATATATATATATATATATATATATATATATATATATATATATATATATATATATATATATATATATATATATATATATATATATATATATATATATATATATATATATATATATATATATATATATATATATATATATATATATATATATATGTCATGTGGTCATTAATGGTTTTGTATGAAACAGTGTATGTACCAGACACATTGTAGGATACTCAATAACAGTTTATTTCCCTTTTTTCTATAGATAGGGTATAAGAATAAAAAGATGAATTATAATTTCCAGTCCCTAAAACTATGCTCTTAAATTTGGTCTAGAATGCCTCATTTTAAAAATAAATAGTTACCAAAAATAAACTCCATACAACAATACAGATGAATTTCACAAAAATAACATTGAACCAAAGGATCCAAACATCAAAGAGCGAATATTGCATGATTCAGTTTATTTATAGGCAAAAAGAAAAATATAGGCAAAATTCTATTTATTTATTTTGTGGTACTTGGATTAAACCCAGGGGCACTCTACCACAGAACTACACTCATACCCCCTTTTTATTTTGAGACAGGGTCTTGCTATGCTGCCAAAGCTGGCATCAAATTTAAGATCCTCCTGTCTCAGCCTCCCCAGTGGCTGGGATTACAGGTGTATGCCACCACACCCAGCTCAAAACTAATTCGTGATGTCAGAAGTCAAGATTGTGGTGACCTTTGAACGGAGGTTGGGCTTGAAAGGGAAAGGAGTTTGTGAGTTTCTGATATGTTCATGATCTTTCTTGATATGAGTACAAGTTACATAGGTATGTTCACTTTGTGAAAATTCTTCATGCTGGACAATTGTGAGTTGTGTTATTTGCTCTATGAAGGTTTTATTTAATACAAATTATTTAAAACCTGTGGTGGCAGTTACTGCATAATATCTCTTTGTCACAAAGTGGACTGGTTTTACATGAACCTTTTTCTGTCTTGTGGGATTTACTGGGGGCTCTAATTAAGGAGAAAGACTAAATCAGCAACCTTGCTTCTAAGAAATTCATGCAAATAATGGAATAAAAACAAACAACATTTAAACTATACAAAGTTTTAATGACTTTGATCTTTTGAAAGTTTGAAAAAGTGTTTTCCTACTTCTTTTACTAAATTTTTATTTTCCAAGGTGAAGATCATGCTGAATATTGTCTAATTGAGGCTTTCGTGGCTGTTTGGGATTTGTGAATCTCTCCTGTAGTCTTCCTTTAACCATTACTTCTACTTTATTCTGTTGATGATTTTTTGAAACAAGATCTCACTCTGTTGCCTAGGCTTCTCTTGAGCTGCTGGGCTCAAAGGATCTTCCTGTTGTAGCCCTCCCTGTGCTGGAACTACAGGTGCATGCCACCACATCCAGCTCTTTGCTGAAATTTAACTTCCTTTTACCAATTCCAGTTGGTGATCTCCTTGGTGACTCTCATATTTTAGATGGATTTGTGTCAACTAAGAATTCTTTTGTATGTCCCCAATTTTTAAAAAAATTCAACAGTACCTTCATTGGTCATTGGCCTAGAATGAAAGAAAAAAAGTAATAGGAGTCTCTAAATTTACATCCAAAATTTTTTCCCTATAAACCTAAAGTTAATTTCTTAATCCCTGTGAAACCCCTTAGTAATATACTAATATTAAAGATGTAGATAGCAGAATACTAAAAAGTATATTTTTATATTTATATTATTTCATGTTAACATTCAGCTTGGAACTTGGCTGTGCAATCTGACAAAGACCCAGTAACAATGAGAGAGTTTTTCATGCTTTCTTATGAGGTAAGTAGGTTCTAAAAAGAATCTAAATATGAACAAGAAGGATCTGACCACTAAGAGTTAAGTATAAGCTGGGCATGGTGGCTCATGCCTGTAATCCCAGCAGCTTGGGAGGCTGAGGCAGGAGGATCATGAGTTCATAAACCAGCCTCAGCAACTTAACAAGGACCTAATCAACTCAGTAGACCCTGTCTCTAAATAAAATATAAAAAGGGCTGGCAATGTAGCTCAGTGGTTAAGCATCCCTGAGTTCAGTCCCGGGTGCAAAAAAAAGAAGAAGAGCTAAGTATAGAGTAGAATTGCCTTTTCATCTTGGAACATTTAGTACATGTCTAAGCAAAAAATGGCCCAAGGAGAATCTGTTCCCTTCATTGTAGAATGTAAGAATGTGGTACAGTTATCCCTGTACCAGAATATGATAAACACCCATCATGGAACCTAAAGTTCTACCATTACAGAATTATTCTTTTTCCTTTGAAGAGATTTCAGTCTCCCAGAGTCCTGTATTAAAACAATATTATCTTTTGGAGGGAAATACTCCAAGCATTGTGATTTACCAACACAGAAAGGGTTATGGTAATAAGTCTATAGGAATGTAAAGTATGTATCTGGGTACAGCCTGGGCAGAAAAAGGAGATTAAGAAGTCTGGACTTTCTATATAACTTTTCCTAGAGCAGGTTCTGTGTGTAAAGGTTTATGAGTTTGTTAATCAATTATAAGTGTTTGAAAATAGTCCTGAGTCTCCAAGTTAGAGTTTAAGTGTTACAAATAGGATTAAGTATTGGATGGAAGGGTTAGAGAGTATCCCTCAAACACAGATAAGTCAAGATTAATTAAATATTTAGAATTTTAGAGCTGAAAAGAACCAGAGATAATCTAGCACAAGTCCTCCCCCGCTTTTTAAAAACATAACAGTAGCCTGAGACCTAAAGAAATTGGTTGTCTTGAAATTCTTTTAATTCAGTGATGCTAATGATTGCATCACTAAATGTTTGGGGAGATTAATAGTCTTTGCAAGTTTAGGTAGAGTTGCCATTAAATTAGGCCAAATAAACCAGCTTTAGTTTTGACATTTGTGATAGCACTGTAGGACTGGCATGTAAGAATCCAAGTGGCTTAGAGTCTTATTGTTGTACAAAGCTGGGAGGTTTTTTTTTTTTTTTCCCTAAAACTAGAGGGCAAGATTTAATGATGAGGTTATGTTTAATGCCTGTCAAGATTTGACATTGTGTCTTTTAGCCATGACAATATATGTACTAATTTCAGCTCTATTAAATACAAAGGGGAAATCTATTTGCCAGGAGAAAAAATCACCTAGAAATTACAGTATAAACCAAGAAGTAAATCACTAGATCGAAATACAGGGGCAAATGACAGTACTTTGTCACTGGAAAAGATAAGAAAACTGAAGAAATGAAGCTTTTTATCTAGTAAGGTGCAAAAAACAATGGAAAGTAATATAAAATTAAAACTGTAAATCAGTGTTATAGTCTATATAATTTTTATGGTGACATGTGCTGTTTCAGCTGAATTTCTTCATTCAGAGAGGATGTTGCTGATTTTCATTCTGATTGTTTGTGTTCACCTGACAGAATTCTCACTATTCATTGATGTTTTGGTTATTTCTTATCAGCTGTCCCAGTTTTGTCCTTCTGATCAAGTAATTCTGATTGCACAGAAAACATGTTTACTTATGGCAGCTGCAGTTGATCTAGAGCAAGGAAGAAAAGCTGCAACAACTTTTGAACAGGTAATGTGCAACCTTCAAAAAAGACAAAAGTTAAGTGTGCTATTTGGTATGTTTGCCTTCCCTGATACACTTATTTTTTATTCTCTATAGAGAATCGTTTCCTCCATTCCAACAGCACTTTGATTTCAAAGTTTATAATAGCTAATTCCTTACTAAGCAAAGATCACATTTGGCTTAACCTCTTCTGTTTAAGAAGGTAGACTATCTCTTCTTTTAAAGTACCCTTCCCATGGGTCACTCTTTCCTAGTCTGATTTTAAATATTCTTTTTTTTTTAATTTTTTAGTTGTTGGTGGACCTTTATTTTATTAATTTATTTGTATGTGGTGTTGAGAATCAAAGCCAGTGCCTCACACATGTTAGGCAAGTGCTCTACCACTGAGCCACAACTCCAGCCCCCTTAAATATTCTTTATTTTCATTTTCTCCCTGTATTTACATATGGCCCATAGAAGTTTTTCTCCCACATTTGTTCCTGTTTGCACATTTTCTTTCTTTTTTCTTTTGCTTTTCTCCCTTGCCTCTCCCTCCACCCCCACACCCAGTACTGGGAATTGAACACAGGGGTGTTCTATCACTGAGCTACATCTCCAGCCTTTTTTATTTTTTGAGACAGTGTCTCACCATGTTGCCCATGTTGGCTTCAAACTTGCTATGCTCCTGCCTCAGTTTCCCAAGTCGCTGGGATTATAAGTATATACCGCTTTGTCCACCTTCTTTCCACACATTTCTATGGAAGAATTCAGCTCTTTCCACAGCTTTGACAGCCATCTGAAATTATTTATTTAAGCTATTTTTCTTCCCTCAATTGCATTTGTTTTCTTTGTCCTGTGTCCTTTAATATCTCATAATTAACTCAATTTTAACAAGAAGACAGGAATTCTTACCTTTGCCTGAATTCTACTCTAAGCTTTTTAAACTTTACCTCTTTTAGGAACTACCAACATTGCTGTCTCCCTTACACCAGATTATTGGTTGGCCTTCAGCTTTTTTTTTTTTTTTTCAAGCTGAGAAAATTTTCTCCAAGTCAGACCACCAGCATTTTGTGTACGATTTTTATGATATAGATCCTCTCTCTGCTTGGTTTCTCTTACCTGGACAAAGAAAACTTTCTAATTTCCCATACTTGTCATCTTCTCTTCTCTCCAACTGGTATAAAATCCTTCTTGCTTTTTAACTTCTTCCTCTTCCTAATATCTTCTTCCATGTTATTCATTCCATAGCTTAACTATTGTGAATTGAGCTGCATCATAGATTAGTTTGCTGATTTTAAGTCCTTTGTGTGTATGCTGAGGAGAGGGATAGCTGGGTCAAATGGTGGTTCCATTCCAAGTTTTCTGAGGAATCTCCATACTGCTTTCCATAGTGGTTGCACCAATTTGCAGTCACATCAGCAATGTATGAGTCTACCTTTTTCCCCACATTCTTGCCAACATTTATTGTTACTTGTACTCTAGACTGTTGCCATTCTGACTGGAGTGAAATGGAATCTCAGTGTAGTTTTAATTTGCATTTCTCTAATTGCTAGAGATGTTGAGCATTTTTTCATACATTTGTTGACCAATCATATTTCTTCTTCTGTGAAGTATCTGTTCAGTTCCTTTGCCCATTTTGATTAGGTTATTTGTTTGTTTGGTGTTAAGTTTTTTGAGTTCTTTATATATCCCAGATATTAATGCTCTATCTGAGATACAGGTGGCAGAAATTTTCTCCCATTCTGTGGGCTCTCTCTTCACGTTCTTGATTGTTTCCTTTGCTTTGAAGAAGTTTTTTTTTGTTGTTTTTTGTTTTTTGTTTTAGTTTGACACCATCCCATTTATTGGTTTTTGATTTTACTTGCACTTTAGGAGTCTTGTTAAAGAATTCGATTCTTAAGCTGACATGATGGAGAGTGGGTCTACTTTTTCTTCTGGTAGGCACAGGGTCTTTGGTCTAATGCCTAGGTCCTTGATCCAATTTGAGTTGAGTTTTGTGCAGGGTGAGAGATAAGGGTTTAATATCATTATGCTACATACAGATTTTCAGTTTTTCCAGCACCATTTGTTAATGAAGCTATCTTTTCTCCAATATATATATTTTTTTGCACCTTTATCTAGTATGAGATAACTGTATGTATGTGGGTTTTTCTCTGTGTCCTCTATTCTGTATCATTGATTTACATGTCTGTTTTGGTGCCAATACCATGCTGTTATATAGCTCTGCAGTATAACTTAGGGTCTGGTATTGTGATGCCTCCTGCTTCATTTTACTCACTGAGGACCAATTTGGAGGCCTCATTCTTAAGAACTACTGGGGTCCCTTTTAAGAAACCTTTACATTTTAAAAGAAGATGAGAAAAGAATCTACCTTCCTCAGAACAAAATAAGAAAAACAAAACCCAATTCTGCTTCTTACCAGGTAAAGGTAAAAAAGTATTTTAATTCTGCTGATGGTGATGCACACTTGTAATCCTAGTGGCTCAGGAGGCTGAGGCAGGAGGATCACAAGCTCAAAGCCAGCCTCTGCAACTTAACAAGGCCCTAAGAAACTTAGTGAGACCCTGTCACAAAATAAAAACTAAAAAAGGCTGGGTATGTGGCTCAGAAGTTAAGCACCCCTGGGTTTAATCCCTAGTACCAAAAAAAAAAGTAATTTTATTCTCAATAGGCCCTTTTGCTTTACTAAAAAAACAGTAATAACATGTTCTCCTTATATGGTTTTAACTTTTGAAAAGTTATTCTTTTTCTGTTGGTAGTCCTGAGTTTGTTAAACAACAGTGTATCTTAGCAAATAGATATCAACTTGGTGTGAAGGAAATTTCACAAACTCTTAAGTACAGTCCTTAATTATTTTGTTTGTTTCTAACAACTGTTATTTATTTTTTTATTTTTTCTCACACACTTCTGTGTTTCCCAGGAACTCTGTAACCTAGTAATCCTTCTATAGTCTGTGCTTTTGAAAGCATTTCTATTCAGATAATTCAAGATATACTTCTGCCTTTCATCGTCTAAGTGTGGTCCCTATGAATTAGACTGTGGTGCTTTCTCTCTATAAAGAATATTTGTTGAATTCTGTTATATACAACTGCACCCTGTTCTTCCTTTTCTTTTCTCTTCTCTTCTCTTCTCTTCTCTTCTCTTCTCTTCTCTTCTCTTCTCTCTCTCTCTCTCTCTCTCTCTCTCTCTCTCTCAATTACCCAGGTTGACCTTGAGCTTGTGATTCTCCTGCCTCAGCCTGTAGACTAGTTTGGACTACAGGCATGTGCCACCATGCTGTTGGCTGTACCCTTTTCTTTATACCCCCATAAATCAGGGTATTTATAAATAAGATGATGATGAAGGAATACACAAAGACTGCATAGTCCTATCTACATTGTCTCTACCCTCCTAAGTAAAGGGAAAGTGAGAAATGCTTAAAACATTAGAGTAATTGCAATTTGAAAAGGAATTACATATTTTTCCTAGAATAGGGCTGGGTAAGCTATTGCCAACTGTCCAAATCAGTCCCATGGCCTTTTTTTGTACAGCCTGAGAGCTAAAAATGGTTTTTACATTTATAAAAAGGTTATAAACCAAAATAAAGCAAAACATGTGAAAGTGAGTATATGTAGCTGGCAAAGCCTAAAATATTTACTGTCTGATGTTTTACAGAAGAAGTGTCCTGACCCTTGTCCTAGATTATTTTTTAACAGACTTATTGAGGTACAATTCATGTTCCTTATAATTCACTCATTTTTTAAAATTTTTATTTTTGATAGTGCTAAGGATCAAACCAGGGCCTCACACTTTCTAGGCAAGCATGCTTAGCTATACCCCAACCCAAATTTACCCATTTAAATGTACACTTTAATGGTTTTTAGAATATTTATATGTGTGAAACTGTCAACATGACCTAATTTTAGAACACTTTCATCACCCTAAAAAGAAACTCCATACCCATTAACAGTTACACCTCATCCCTGCTACCAGCCCTAGGCAACCACTAATCTAATTTTTGTCTCTATAGTTTTGCTTATTCTTGGTATGCCATCCTACAATATGTAGTCTTTTTTGATTAGCTCTTTTTATAAAGTTTGAAATATTTTCAAGTTTCTCCATGATGTAACATGTATCAATAAATATTTCATAGATTTTTATGATGGAATAACATTTCATTGTATATACAGTGTGTATATTTCATTTTATTGTGATATAGGGATAGATAGATAGATATCACATTTTGTTTATTCATTCCCATTGATGGGCACTTGGGTTGTTTTCACTTTTCAGCTATTATAAATAATGCTTTTGATAAGTATATACATTTTTGTGAACATGTTTTTCTTTCAAGTATGTACATAAGAGTTGGATTGGTGGAATGTTTTATGGATGTCTGTCAGGTCTAGTAGGTTTACAGTGTTGTTTAAGTCTTCTATATCATTGATGATTTTCTTCCAGGTTGTTCTATTCATTATTTATAGCAGGATGTTGAACTTTCCAACTCTTTTTTTTAAGGGGGAGTACTGGGGACTGAACTCTGGGACACTCAACCACTGAGCCACATCCCCAGCCCTATTTTGTATTTTATTTAGAGACAGGGTCTCACTGAGTTGCTTAGTGCCTCACAGTTGCTGAGGCTGGCTTTGACCTTGTGATCCTCCTGCCTCAGGCTCCCTAGCTTCTGGGATTACAGGCATTTACCACTGTGCGCAGCAAGTTTCCAACTCTTATTGTTGAATTGTCTATTTCTTTAATTCTGTCAATTTTTGCTTTGTATATTTTGGGGCTCCATTATTTGTTGCATATGTGTCTATAATTTCTATATCTTACTGATGTAATCACCATTTTATCAATATAAAATTTCTCTCTTTATCCCTAGTATTTTTTTTTTTTTGGAACTCTAGTAATGTTATTTTAACATTTCTGCTGTTGCTATTTCCACAGCATGGGTCTTCCCCATCATTTTACTATATTATTTTATTAGTACTGGGGATCTAAACCAGAGGTGCTTTAGCACTGAGCTACATTCTTGGCCTGCTTTATTTATTATTTTGAGGCAGGGTCACACTAAGTTGCTGAGGCTGGTCTTGAACTTGCAGCCCTCCTCAGCCTACTAAGCCCTCTCAGCCTACTAGCCCTCTTAGCCTACTAGCCCTCTCAGCCTACTAAGTTGCTGGGATTACAGTCAAGTACCACCATGCTTGGCTACATTCAATATTTTATCTTTAATGTAATGCTTGTCTCTTATAGACATAGTTAGACCACGTTTTTTCTTAACATATAGTGTGACAATTTGTGCCTTTTACTACATCACTTATTCCAATCACACTTAATGTTATTATTTTTATGGTCAAACTTAATTCTGCCATTTCACATTTTGGTTTCCATGTATTTCATGTATTTTTTTTCTTGTTTTCTTCCTTTTGCATTAAGTGAATGTTTTCTAGTGGAATATTTTAGTTCCTTTAACAATTTTTACTTAATAGTTTTTATTTATTTTCTTAGTGGTTGCTCTAGAGCATGCAATATAGATCTTAATTATTCTGCCTCTACAAGAGATTATGAATTCAATTCCAGTGAGATATAGAAATGTTATTCCTATTAGTTCTATTCCCTTATCACCTTTTTTGTTCATCATATTATACATATTACATCTATATATGCCCCAAACATAACAATACATCTTATAATATTACTTTATACAATTTTATGTATTTGTAAGAAACTAAGAAGAAAGGCAAGCAAGTATATACTACAGTTTGGTATATTAACCATCTTATTTGCTATTTGTGCTTCTCTTCACTTCTTCCTGTGGATTTTAGTTACCATATGGTAACATTTTCTTAACCGAAACAACTTTGTTCCCACCTGTGTCTTGTGTTGTTATTGTGAAATATATTACATTTCTATTTTTAGAGGCCTAGTAACACAAAAATAAATTTGTGTGTGTGTTTGTTTGTGTATTATATAATCCCTTTTGGTTTTTTGGTGCTAGATATGGAGCCCAAGGCCTCGTTCATGCTAACCATATGCTCTACCACTGAGATAACACACACAGCCCCATAATTGCTTTTTAAGACAGTTCAGAGAACAAAGAAGAAATATGCTATATTTTGTATTTACAAAATTATTTTACTGATACTCTCCTTTTTAATCTGAATTCACATTACTTCCTGGTGTCACTTGCTTTCAGATTGAAAACTTTTTTCAGTAATACATTCTCTGAACTCTTGTTTATCTGGGAATGTATTTCATCTTTAGTTCTAAATAATAGTTTTGGTGAACATTGCATTATTCATGGGTTGTTATTTTTATTCATCACTTTCAGTTTATTTATTTATTTGCCATGCTGAGGATTGAACCCAGGTCCTCATGCATACTAGGCAAACTCTCAACCACTGAGCTACATCCCCAGTTCTCATAACTTTGAATATGTTTTCACACTGCCTTCTGACCTCCATTGTTTTAAAGAGTCAATTCTTAATGTATGTATGCATGTATGTAATGAGTCATTTTTCTCTATTTTCTAATTTTTCTCTTTTCTTTTACTCTTTTGAATGGAATATATCTGGGTTGAATTTCTTTGTGTTTATCCTGTCTAGAGTTTGTTGGACTTCTTAGATGTGTAGAGAATGTTTTTCATCAAGATTGGGGAGATTTCAGCCATTTTTATTTATTTATTTATTTTTTGCTCCTTTTCGCTCATATATTTTGATAATTCCATTAGGTATATGTTGGTGTGATTCATGGTTTCCTACATTTTACTAAGGCTTTACTTTTCTTCATTCTTTTTCATTGTTTCTCATACTTCATAATCTCTATTGATCTAGCTTCATCTTTGTTGATTGCTTCTTCTGACAACTCAAACCTAATGTTGATCTCCTCTAGTGAATTTTTGTTTCAGATTTTGTATCTTTCTCTCCTCCTCCTCCTCCTCCTCCTCTTCTTCTTCTTCTTCCAATGCTAAGCAAGCACTCTCCCACTGAGCTATATCCCCAGCCTAGTTATTATATTGTTAACTCTAGTATATCCATTAGATTCTTTGATTCCTGTCTCATTATCAAGATACTGTATTTGATTAATACTGTTATCAAACCTTCCTCCTCTTAGAATGTTATCCTTTTGTTATTTGAACATATTTAAAACAGATGCCTTGAAATATGTGCCTGCTAAGTTTAATACCTGAGCCTTTTCAAAGTTTCTGTTACTGGCTTTTTTCTTATACATGGGTCTAAGTTCCTGTTTCTTTGTATATCTTATAATTTTTTTAAAAAATCAGACATTTTAGTTAATTTATTATAGCATCTTTGGATACTGATCTACCACGTGGGGATTAGTGTTGTTAATGTTTGTTTCTGTTTAGTTAATTGGGAATATAGGGAAAATAGTTCAATGAGGCCTATTTTCCCTATATTTCATAGTTTCTGATGCAACTCTTCAAAGGGCAGTCTTTGTCTTAGAAATTACCCTGACCTATCCTTCTGAAAAGAATAGTGATTTTAGTAGAGTTCTTTAATATTATCTCTTTTCCTTATCTCCCTCTTAAAGCTTCTCTTTTCTTGGTATTGCATGCACCTATTGGCCTTTAAAGGTGATTGGGCATTTTATGTGTGTGTGTGTGTGTGTGTGTGTGTGTGTGTGTGTGTTTTGAAAGTGCTTTTTTGATATAAATTAAAATGGTGCCCCTTTGAAGGGAAAGGAATCGTCCTAGCTGTCTCTTCACCTGCTTCCCTCTATAAACTTGAAGTTAGTCTACTGTTTTATATTGATTTCATTGAGCTACAAGACTCATTTTACTTGCTCATGTCATACAGGGGCTGTAACTCAGGAAACAGGTTCAGGGTTCAGCAGGTGGAAGAAGATGTAAGACATGGTGGAAATATTGGTCATCCTTTATTTGGAGGTGGACATAGCCATTAGCCAGCCCCTAGCTTCAACTTCAGCCCTCCAGCCAGTTCCATTTTAGATCCCATTTTATATTATATTTTATATTCAGTTCAAACAAAGGAGGCACACTGCCAGCACGTTACATAAGGGAGGGGGGGTGCACAAGCTCCCAAGTTAATTTTTATGACCTTGAGTCTGTACTCTGAATCACAGTGTTTCTGGCCTTGACTAACCATAGCCCTGGCAACACACTAAAAACATAACATAGCCTGCCAGAAGTCTCCACGAGGGAGCCTAACTACAGCCATTTTGGGCCTGCCCCAGCAGCTCACTACCAAAATTTCCATGGTTTTTAAAAGTGCCCTTAGCCTTGAACTTCCCCAGGTTCTATTCTAATCCAAGATTTTCCCCTTAGGGAGAACTACAGAGCTCACCCTTCTAATGACCTACCACATTTACTGAGAAGAAACTGAATTACTATTTGGGAGGTAGGGGCAGGGACAGTGGCCCACTTCTATCAGAGTGACAATCGAGCTCTGAATGGGCAAGAGTTATAATCCCTGGTATTTTTGCCTTGCCTCTCCCAGCATGGAAACTATACTATAAGCAAACAGAGATGAGAACAATTGAGACCAAGAAGAGAGCCCTAGGCTTCTCAGCTGTGCTTTTTTATGATATAGCTTCCATGGTACAGACCTGGCCAGCAGTCTGGCCCTCACAGGAATCCCTAGCCTTGAAATATGATCACATCTACCCAAAGCAGTGCTTACATCACATTGAACTGGGGGTTGGTGAACGCATCTTGGTTCAAATGTCACAAGCCCTCAATCATCTTACTTAGGCTTAGCAGATCTCTTGGGGTAAAAGTTTCTCCACTTTCTGTATGCCCTCAGGGCAGGCAATTTCTTGAGACTTTACATGATTGTGTTTTATTTGTTTTGTTTTGTTTTTGTAGTTCTGAAGATGGAACCCAGGGCCTACATATGCCATACATGACTGTGTTTTATAATTTTTGTCTGTTTTTTATTTTTATTTTTGTTTTGCTTGGAAAAGGATCTATGGAATGCCTCATACAACCATTCTGAAAGTGCTTTTTTCTTCTATTCTAAATTATTAAAGAAATTGACAGTGCTCAGTTTTTCTATTTAATCCTTATTTTTCTGGGACAATAGGTTGAAGTGCATTTGGAGTTTATATTCCTACAGCAATTCCAAAATGTTCACTTTAAACTAACATTTTAGCTGGGCGTGGTGGCACAAGTCTGAAATCCTAGCAATTATGGAGGCTGAGACAGGAGGATCGCAAATTTGAGGTTAGCCTCAGCAATTTAACGAGGTCCTAAGCAACTTAGTGAGATCCTGTCTCAAAATAAAAAAAAAATAAAATGGACTGGGGATGTTGCTCAGTGATTAATCACCACTGGGTTCAATCCCTAGTACTTGAAAAATAAATACAAAGTAAAAATAAATAAATTAACATTTTATTTTTAATTGCTTTTAATTAAAATGATATGAGATTATGCTAATTTGCTTAAAGTTCTTTTTGTTGAGACTAATTATCTTGTTGCCAAATAGACCAAGTTACTGAATCGTGCACTTGAGCAAACCCAGAAATGCAAAGACATCTGGAATCTTCTGAAACAAACAGGTACAGTGGGAACTAGAAGTTTGGTAACATAGCTATGAAAGAAGTTTACAATCTGAATAATCACCTAATTTGTCATGAGAATTTTCTGCAATATTCAATAACAGCTAAATTATTTTTAAGAACCAATTTTTCCATACTGTATGTTAGTATTTTTATTCTATAACACTGATTAGAGTAAGAATATTATGCACTTTGACTTCTGGTAAAAGTACAATATTAAATATAAAAGTAAGATTATTATTGTACAACATGCTATTGCTCTTAGGTCACTAGATACCAAAAGTTACCACTGACTAATAGATGTAGATGACAGAGTCTTTCAAACCACAATCAAAATACTAGCCACTGCTGGTAGTTTATTATGAATTATCAAAATTGTAGTAAAACTTTTGAAGTCATGTAATAACTTGCTACAGTTTCCTCATTAAAGATAGTATTGTTTTTTAGGTATAGATAGACAATGTTATAGTGTGCCCATCTGTTCATGTTTTAGAATTCTTTTAAGTCAATGGGTATTCAATTGAGTTATATGTCTTTTCAGAATCTATGAAGATAATCATGGTTTTTCTCTTTAAGCTGTGAATACATTGAATTATAATAATAGATTTCCTAAAATTAATTCATCATTGCATTCCTGGAATAAACTCTATTTGGACATGGCATGTTATTATTTTAATATATTCATGAATTCTTTTTCTTAATATTTAAAAATTATTTGTTGTTTTCTCTTTGTGCATATGTGATGTCTCTGACAGATTTTCAAATCAAATTATATAAATTATAAGGAAGAATATAAACACAGGGATTTAATTTGCCTCTCTCAATCTATGACAGCTATTTAAATGATAAAAATGACAAGTAAGAATAGAAGATACCTAAATAATATACTTTCTATAGCAGATTTCAGGAAAATAGACTCTATAGCTTTAAAGTATGCTCTATATTCTGAGAACAAAAAATGCATCTTCATTTCTACTCTGAAATGTTTACAGCATTAATGATAAGGAAACCCTGAATAGATTCTGAGACATACAAATAAAACAGAGAACATGATCTGATTACAGTGCAAAAACTAGAAGTTAGTAATGGAATCAGAAAATAAGCCTGGTTCCAGGTGCGTTAGTTCACACCTGTAATCCCAGCTACTTGGGAGTCTGAGACAGAGGGATCTCAAGTTCAAAGCAAGCCTGGCAACTCAGGGAGACCCTGTCTCAAAATAAAATAAAATTTTTATAGAAGGCTGGGCATGTTGCTCAGCAATAGAGTACTTGTCTAGAATACAGGAGGCTTTGGGTTCAGTCCCCAGTACAGCAAAAGAAAGAAAGAACCCTACTACCTGGATATATTTTTTTAAAAAAATCAGAAGTACAGAATATCCAGTGTTATAGTTTAGATCCAGAATATCTACAAAGGTTTATGTATTGAAAGTTTGTTCCCCAACTGGTGGTACTTTTAGAAAGTGGTGAAGCTCTAGGATACTCTATATTTGCATAATCATGTATTTCTCAGAATGTGTTCCTAACATCAAGCAATCCATGACTGCACATGTGTGTATGTGCATGTTTGTATTTATACATATACAAGTCATTAGGTAATTTCAGATTAAATCCATAATGAAATACTAGCACATACCTATCCAAATGATCAAATCCAAAACACTGACAACAGCAAATCCTGGTGAGGATACAGAGCAACAGGAACTCTCATTCATTACTAATGGGAATGAAAAAAAGGTATAGCCACTTTGGAAGATAGTATGATAATTTCTTACAATATTAGACATAATGTTATCAATATGATTCAGCAATCATGCTCCTTTATATTTACTCAAAGGAATCGAAAATTTATGGTCACACGAAAATCTGCACATGGCTGTTTATAGCAGCTTTATTCACAATTGTCCCATTTTGGAAGCAACTAACATGTCCTTCAACATATGTGAACAGATAATAAAATGTGGTATATTTGTACAATGGAATATTCAGTATTGAAAAATATGAGCTGTCAAGACACAGATAGACATGGCAGAATCTTAAATATATATTACTAAATGAAAGTAGCCAGTCTGAAAAGTTGACATACTATATGATTCCAACTATATGATATTTTGCAAAAGGCAAAATCATGAAGACAGTAACCTATCAGTGATTGTCTAGGGTTTTAGGGGACAGCATGAATAGGTGATCACAGAAAATTCTTAGGGCAGGAAAACTATTCTGTATGATATTACAATGATGAATATATGTCTTTATACATTGGTCAAAATCCACAAAATGCATAATACAGAGAGTGAATCCTAAACCAAACTATGGACTTTGGTTGAATGTGATGTGTCAGTGCTGGTCCATCAGTTAAAACTAATGTATGGAATAGATGCAGAATGTTGATGGTGGGGAAGACTGAATGTATGGGAGGTTGGGGGCCAGTATGTGAGAAATCTCTGTACTTTCCTCTCAGTTTTGCTTTGAACCTAAAACTGCTTTAAAAATAAAATGGTAGCCAGGTGTGGTGATGCACACCTGTAATCCCAGTGGCTCAGGAGGCCAGCCTCAGCAATGGCAAGGTGCTAAGAAACTCAGTGAGACCCTGTCTCTAAATAAAATACAAAATAGGGCTGGGATGTGGCTCAGTCATTGAGTGCCCCTGAGTTCAATCTCTGGTACCCACCCCCTCTCAAAATAAAAATATAATAATAAAATGTTAAAAAAAAAACAGCCTATAATCTCAGCTACTTGAGTGGCTAAGGCAGGGAAATCATGAGTTCCAGGCCAGCCTGGGCAACATTGTGAAACACTGTCTTAAAAAAGAAAGAAAAGAAATATAGTGGTAGCAGAACAAAAGGAAATGCAATATTCTTGAGTCAGTTTTTTTGGGGAACATGGTATTCTTTTTCAATGTGCAAATTAAAGTATGCTTCCATTTCTAGAAATTTTTCTAGAATCATGTTTTTAATATTTGTTTTTTGTGTGTTTTAATTGTAATTGGACACAATGCTTTTATTTTATTTATTTTTATATGGTGCTGAGAATTAAACCCAGTGCCTCAGATGTGCTAGGCAAGTGCTCTACCACTGAACCACAACCCCAGCCCCTTAAACATTTGTTTTTTATTCCATTATTTTTATTTCTTCTTTGGGAACTCTGCATGTTTTGAATCTCCTCTACTTGTCTCTTACATCTTTTGTTTCATCTTCTATATCTCTATGTTTTTAAAATTTTTATATCTGTAGATAGATGGCATATCTTTATTTTATTTATTTACCTTTATTTTATTTGTTTATTTTTATGTGGTGCCAGGAATCAAACCCAGTGCCTCACACATGCTAAGCAAGTGCTCTACCACTGAGCCACAACCCCAGCCCCAATTTGTTTTATTTTTATGTGGTGCTGAAGATCTAATCCAGTGCCTCATACATGCTAGGCAAGTGCTCTGCCACTGAGCTCCAGCTCCAGCCCCGATATATCTCTATATATTTTTGAAGCTTAAATTTCCATTTTTGTTTTCGGACACAGCAATGATTTAATTTAACTCATTAATTAGTAAGGGAACCAGTAAGATGTTACAGACTGGTTCAAAAAAAAAAAAAAAAGAAAGAAAGAAACACATATACATTCAAACAAGAAGAATACTGAAATAAGTTTACAAAACTGGTAAATAGCCACAGAGAATGATTAGTTTAATCTCCGTGGAACAAAAGTTACTTACATTTCCTTACACAAGAATAATTTGCATTATTAACAGTTTTCTACAAATTATTGAATTGAAAAATGACTCACACAATTTAGGTAGAGATAACCTTGAAGGGTACACTTGAAAGGACATACACTAATTTCTTTTTCCTGATTCAAAGCCTTTTGCAATATTTTTTTGCATAGTATTCCATCTACCTCCCTCCTCTGTGATCATAATAATCTCATAGAATATTATTCTTAATCACAAAACAAGCTAATTTCGTTAGTTTGCCCTGATTATTTACATAGGTATAGCATGAGTGTTAATAAACCAAACAGGCCTCCTTGGATTTACTTTGCATATCTAAAGCTATAAAATACTGAACAACTACTAAGGCTACAGATTCAAATTCTGTCTAGATGCTTCTATAGGGAATCTGAGATTGGCTATCTGAAACCCTCTTCGATGCTACTTCAAAGTTAGGTAACCAAGTTCAAGAAATCTGTCCACATACAACAGTTACTAATATGGCATTATGTAAAAATGTGGATGTGTAACCGATGTGATTCTGCAATCTTTGTAATGTTTTGAACAACTAATAAAAAAAAAAGAAATCTGTCCACCAGATTTCACTTGTCATGCTTTATAAATTTATGGAAATTCATCTCTTTTCAAGGTTCCCTAAATTTACTAAGGTTCTTGGCCTGCCAGAAAGTAAATTTCCTACCACTTTTAAGACTGGGACCCTGTAAGACAGGCCGGTTCCCTGACGTAAATTTGAAGTACAGTCAACCTTATCTCTTTAAAGTAGCATATCATACCTGATTAGATGAGTATCATATAATATTGATACTCTAGGTAAGACATTAATATGTCCAATTATATCATGATGAAAAGGAAGAACAGATTCTTATAGAACCAATGCGAATAAGTATATTTCAATGAAAAGTAGGGAGATTTAGTAAAAGTTTGATCATATCATTTTAAAATAATTTAGTTTCAGCATCTACTGAATTGTTTTGACTTACAAATGGCTTGTAAAGAAAGTTTTCTCATATAAGACTGGAAATGGAACATTAAAACAACATTGGCCGTATTCTAAATAAATAACCAGAGTAAAATTTCTCTTTCATCAATTTATTCAGTCCTGTGTTCTGCTGAATCTTGAGTTAGCAGTCTGCTTTTGTGAAGTTTTATGCTTGTGAACTCAAAAGCAATTCCTGGAAAGCCTAATTAGCCCACGGATATGGCCTGAAAATTGTCTGTGCACTATCAACTCAAGCTTGTAACTAAGAGTCTATTCTGACATGTCAATAATTTGAAGCACA